TTCTGCAGTCCAAGCTTGAGTCCATCTGCAGCGCCCCATACTCTTTGTTGTTGAAGGAGTGGGTATTTTTCCCCAATAGCCTCAATATAAGCATCAACCTCCTCTCTGACAGGAGACCTGACCCATGCATCTGGATGGTCTTGCAAGACATAAAGAAGGACACACCATGAGAACTTGATCCACTTGTACATCACTGTTGATGTGAGACCAAAGGCCATGGAGAGGACTCTTGCCACTGATCCACGAGTCCTGAACCAGTGCAGTGTTAACCCAAGACAGCATGTTGCATTTGCTTCCCTGTGGTGTCCCTTTGGCATTCCATTCCTGTGGAAGCTTCTCTTTCTTATACGGCCTGTTGCTTCATCAATCATGTACATGTTGAATACTGGTGCATAGAGTGCCATCAGTCCTCTGAAGATCCTGTGGTCTACACCACAACAGTTTAGAAGGGCTTGCTCATTGTTGCCAGAACTATACAAGTGGAGGAACGGCGACTGATTCCATCTCCTGATTGCAATCCTTTGTGTCCTCCTATCCCTTCTGTGCCTCTCCTCTGGAGACAGCTCTTTATCCAGCTCATTGTGGAGAGCTACACAAAGGATAATGAATTCTAGTGACATTGTCGGGGTTGCAGCGCGTTGTCGGGGTACGAGTAGTCAATGTTCCTTTTCAAGGATCCAACCCCAATTTGCCAGCAAGTATCGATGACCATTTGATGCTGCTACCGTACAGCTATCTAAAAATGTTGACACTTTAGATTTGTTTTGGCGCGCTTGATTTTGTGACACTGACACAGTCGTGACACTTTAGATTTGTTTTGGCGGGCTCCCCCGGCTTGGTGACACTTGAGAACTGGCCGTGTCAGAAGCTCGTGACTAACAATTTTTTGAATCCTCGATTCCAAAAAAGTATGTGTTTGCATACATACTTTTGGCAGCCGAGGCCCTCCGACAACCAAAAATCTATGTAATTCTGTCTTAAATACATACTTCTATGTCTGCACGACTGGAATCTAATTCAATTTTCTTAAAATCAATGTTTACGGGAATCACCCAATACGACACGAGCAACTCGTTGATGGGACACTGATAACAGTAATTTAGAGAGCTTTGACTCAGGAAGAAAACAAAAAGGGCACTACGTAGGGTATGGTACCAGTACCGTACTCGTACGTACCTTACATTTTTCGGTTTTGAACCCTACGATTTCTACGTTTAGTTCGTCACAAGACGAGGACGACAACGGCAACACAGAACTGCCGGATCAGGTACCAGGTACAACCCGTAACCCCAAACTCTCTCATCGGTTTCCAGAAACAACAGGCTAAAGTGGTGGGAACTTAAAACACTGTTTAGTCTCTTTGAGTAAACCAGCAAAACCGTCGCGCACAGAATACTCAACAACAATCGCCAACAATGATCTTGCCAACCCGCAAGCTAGCCACGATGGCAACTACCTCTCACACGATGCGGCGGTACTTGTCGTGTACGCCGATGTCATCGAACGCGGTTCGGGGAATCACGAGCAACAATCGCCTCCCGGAAGCTTCCGTGGCGCCTCCCGCCGTTCGCTCCCCAATAGCAAGGACCGCCATTTCCAGGAGGACGGTGCACGTCGAACACCATCCGCGTCCGGATGCGAGCAACGGCAAGGACAGCAGCGGAGAGCCGAACACGGCAGCGACACGGACCGCTGCGCCCAAGCCCCGTTCCCGCCGGAGCCGGACCACCCGGAAGCGCGCCTCGTCGTCCTTCCAGGACAAAACCGTCCTCTCCTACAAGGAATTCGTCCACCGCTTCGCGGTACTCTCCCTGTACCGCGGGTACCTCCGGTGCATCCGCGACTCGATGCCCCACAACCAGGACGACCTGGCCGAGCAGGTCAAGCGGGAATTCCGGATCCACAGCACAGAGTCCGATGCGTTCACCGCACGGCGGTTCCTCTCGGAGGGCCAGAAGCAGTTCGAGGAGCTCAAGGAATTTACGGGGCAATCCAACAAGTACGAAGGGGAATCGTGGATCAACACGAAGGACGCCGAGGACCCCCGGGGGCGTGTCGGAACCGGCTGGCCTTGGGCGAAACAAAGTGAAACGAAATGAAATAAAACAAAGCAACGAGTTGCGAAGTGAAACGAATCAAGAACCAGAGTGGAACCCAATGAACTACGACGAGTCGATCGAGTATCTCAGCATGTAAGCGATCAAAATCGGTTTTGTCACCGCAAACCGAACGGCCCGGGCATACAGAAGAACCAATGAAATAAATATCGATTGTTGAACACCAAATGGTCGATACCGTTGTGTAAGAACGATTCGATTCCAACAACACACAGCGTACAGTTGGATGGAACAACGCATACAATAAATATATTTCATCACTGTATAAGATATTGTTCCACAGAAACTGCGATATCGTTGGGGAGTTCGTAATGCAGCCCTGAACCACACACGTACTTAAGTACAGGCACAAAATTAGACTCATAAATGACTCAATTGTGGTGAAAATAAAAATTTGGAGAATAATATATGATATATAATGCCACTGAAAAAGTCAAGCATACACGCCCACGCCTCTTTCTTGCATCGCGAATAGTGTCTTGTTCATTTGTGAGCATCGATGTTTATTACGTTTCATTGGTTACTTCATGATGCGTTTTGTTTTACGGATTGTCTCGTTCGTGAAAACATCCGTTCGATTCGGTTTTGTGCCGGTTCCATTCCATCGCGATGCAATTGAAATTTAATTCTGCGGCTTGGAGGCCTGGGGTCCGGTCGGGATGATCTCGCCGGCTTCCTCCAGGACCTGTGCAAAGTATTTGATCGTTTGCGTCAAACCGTCCTCTACCGTTACCTTTGGCTCCCAATCCAGTTTCTCCTTGGCCCGTGATATGTCGGGCTTTCGCTTGGAGGGATCGTCCTGGGTTTTGTCCAGGAAGCGGATCTCGGACTCCGATTTGGTGAGTTTTTTGACATACTGCGCGAAATCCTTCATGGTGAACTCGTCAGGATTTCCGAGGTTGACGGGGCCGTCAAAGTCACCGTTCATCAGCGCGTGCAGACCGTTGACGAGATCGTCCACGTACTGGAAGGACCGGGTCTGTTCTCCCTCTCCGTACACGGTGAGGGGCTTCTCCTGGAGGGCCTGGATGATAAAGTTGGAGACGACACGCCCGTCATTTGGATGCATCCTAGGGCCAAAGGTGTTAAATATTCGGGCAACGCGGACCTCCACGTCGCCCTGGTCTCGGTAGGAGTACATCATGGTTTCCGCAACGCGCTTTCCCTCGTCGTAGCACGAGCGGGGACCGATCGGGTTGACGTTGCCCCAGTAATTCTCCGCCTGGGGGTGAACCTTGGGGTCACCGTAGATCTCACTGGTGGACGTAAGCAAGATCCTGGCCTTGACGCGCTTTGCGAGCCCGAGCATGTTGAGGGTTCCCTCAGTGCTTGTCTTGATGGTCTTGATCGGATTGAACTGATAGTGGGGAGGAGATGCGGGGCACGCGAGGTGATAAATCTGGTCGACCTCTAACATGAGTGGCTCGGTCACATCGTGAACAACGAGACTTTCATCGCAATTGCAATGGTAATGGCCATCGGAAAGAGCAAAAAGCGGGTTAGTTTCTAAAAAATGTTCATATCGTGGGGTGTGACTTTCTTTCACTTCCATTTCTCCGCAGCGAAGTGCTTGGAAGAAACAATATAAAATCGAAACGGCAAGGACAAACCAATTACCCCGAGTAAAGAGGCGGCCAACTACTGTATGTGCAACAGAAACAAACGAAAGTTGCCAGACGTACCTGAAGTTGGGGTGATGCATCCAGTGGGCAACGTTTTTCTTTTGCCCCGTGAAGAAGTTGTCCACCACCGTCACCTCGTGGCCCTCCATCATGAGCTTATCGACCAGGTGGGAACCAACGAAGCCGGCACCACCCGTGACCAGGATCTTTTTTCGCCGGTGATCGCTGAGAGAGGCGGTTTCCATAATTGCTGGCGTGCGGTCTGTCGGCAGCGACTGCGTGGCCATCAGGTTTTTGTTCTCGACCAGGCGCGCCATGGCGGCGTCGTTGAGGTTGCGGTACTTGCTCTTCGATTCGCGTTCCAAAACCTTCTTCAACTGTACCGATCCGGACTGGGCAATCGAGTTGGTTCGCAGCACAATCATGGGAAGAATCACGTATCCCATCATGGTCCCAAACAACAGAATGAGAAAGGATTGCTTTGAGACCAGCCCGCTGCTACCGACGAATGCATTAAAATTTTTTCGCCTAGTTTTGCCGTTGACTGGCTCTGCTGCCGACGCGGTAGTTCTAGGCAGCATGCCATTTTTGGCTGCGTCGGAGACGCCTTCTCGTCCTCTGTGGTGGAGTTGTTGATTAATCATCGTGCTCGACTGTTGTGATGGGTGTGGTTATGTGGGTGTACAGCTAGAACTGCGAATGGAACGGTCACCGTTCTGTAGGGAGCGGTATTTGGTACCACTAGCGAATCGWTCAAGGGGATGTGAGAGACAGGGGTCATAATTTTTTTAGAGTACGAGTAGTACTGTAGTACCGTACAGTACGCACKGTAAGTACAGTGCGCTTAGAAGGATAGGGGGGTGCGCGACCTCGAAATTCAAAATTCATTATTCATGCCTACTGGTACCGTACGGTAYCTTCCGTAAGCACTGTGAAAACGTAATCGTCGAGTTGCTCGATTTTCCCGTTTCACACGCATTGGACTACAAAAAGAATAAGTGATCGCCCCTTATTAATTTACTGTAATTTACATTGCGCCTCTTTTGAACAAGAAATGACCATTCAAGAAAGTTCTCATCCTTAGCTACAAGTATGCAAATAATAGCCTTATAAAATACCATATCTATGCTAACATGTGCATCTAGTGGCATATCAAAATGACCCTTTCAACCCAAAAGTTCAAGATGAGATGAGAAGGCTTATGTAAATGTTACTAAAAGTATGATATTAAAATACAGAACACATTCAAATCAAATTAAACAAGATGAATTGAATAAAATAAGAACCATTCAAATTGCCTAMACTCATTAGGGGAAAATCATTTTTGGTAGGGAGGAAGTACTTTGAATCAAGACTCTCAAGTCTTCGTACAACAGGACAGGATAGTTTTGACCCTTGCATTGAGCTCCATAGGAATAGAAAACAACATCTAATTTCTTTTCAGAGAATTTTCATAATTTTTTGATTTATTCATTGTTTAAAATGCAAGAATTCTTTATTATTATACACCATTACATCAACCAAACATGTAGAAAATTAGTCACGTGCAGACTTAAGGCTCCAAATAGGAAACAAAACAAATACCAATCATTCCTCCTGTGCCGTAGCGTATCTATGACGAGAGAGACGATTTCCATCGGTATTGCTGCAACGCGATAAGTGGCATCGAGGTAGTGATGCCGCTGAGCTGAGCTGAGCTGAGCTGAGTAGTTAAAATTTACTACTAGTAGTATCACAGCAAGTGACCACTCAACTCCATTTATTTCAACTCGATTCATTGCGCTTCGACAAGGTACGACGCGACAAAGATCGATTCGAATCACCACATACTTTCAATGCAAGTTACTTCCTTTCACCTTACTTATTGTTCGTTTCGTCGTTCGCTGGCCCTGTTGCTGCCGCGAGGTGACGACCCTTTTGTAGCGCCAGAGGCCGGGACGAACTTCTTCACGAAATTGTTCTTGCTGCTATTCTTGGCCGCGATTTTCAGTCTCCTTTCGTTGTCGGGTTGTGCAGCTCCTACCTCCTTGAGGGCGCTCCTTTCCTTMAGGATATTTCGGCCAATGGTAATGACGGTGGTCATTCCTCTCATGTTAACCATAATGTTTGGATTGTTAGCAACGTTCATGAAAAAGCCTGGACGTCTCATGCCTCTCATCATCATCATCATCATCATACCTCTCATGGGCCTTGAAAAGAAGTTCATCATGTTCATGTTCATCATGTTCATGTTGTTCATCATGTTCATGTTGTTCATCATGTTCATGTTGTTCATCATGTTCATGTTGTTCATCATGTTCATGTTGTTCATCATGTTCATATTGTTCATCATGTTCATGTTCATGTTCATGTTCATGTTCATGTNCATGTTCATGTTCATGTTCATGTTCATGTTGTTCTTATTCGAGTTGTTCATGTTCATGTTCATGTTGTTCATGTTCATCATGTTGTTCTTATTCGAGTTTGAAYCGCTATTGCTAGGAGATCGTGTAGGGCGACGAGTTGGTCTGCGAGTTGGGCTGCGAGTCGGCCGACGTGTAGGACGGTTCGTGTCCGTGGGCGATGTTGGTCGGTTCGTGGGTGGCCTTTGGAACGTARGTTGAGGCGTAGGTCTATTCGTCGGTCTGTTGGTGGGACTAGGCGTAGGTCTGTTGGTGGGACTAGGCGTGGGTCTGTTGTGAGGACTCGGGGTGGGCCGTTTCGTAGGCCTTGGAGTAGGAGGTCTTGGTGTTGGCTTGAATGTTGGCAACGGTGACGGTCTGTATGTAGGTCTTGGCGTCGGATCGGGAGTAGGTCTCGGGGTTGGATTAGGTGTAGGTGGGAGCGTCGGTTGATTAGTCGGTGGCAGGGTTGGCTTGGCCGTCGGCATCATCGTCGGTCTCTCGGTAGGATTCGGGGTTGGCGCAGGTGTAGGTTTACCAGTTGGTTTCATCGTTGGCTGGGGAGTAGGGTTTGGAGTAGGAGCACGACTAGGCATCGGTGTTGGCTGCGGAGTTGGTCGCTGAGTTAGGTATCCGTAAACTCTTCCGTAGGGGTTGTGACCGTAGCCATTCTCCTTCGTTGGGAAAGGAGTTGGGAACCTCGTTGGAGGAACCGGTGGTGGGGTTGCTTTGTAGGTTGGGTTTGGAGTGGGATCAGGCGTAGGAAGTTTGCTTGGAGTTTTTGTTGGCTCAGGTGTAGGATTTGGAGTAGGAAGTGAAGTCTCAAGCGGATAATCGGTTGGTTTCGAACCAGTAGGGTACATAGTGGGTGGCGGCTCATAAGGCTTAGGCTTTGGCGCTGGTTTGGGATTTGGTTTAGGCTTCGGTGGGTATGGCTTTTTGATGTAATAGTAGCCCCTACTATCCAATCCGTCTCCCTTTTGGTCGGGCTCACCCTTGGYGAATGATGCAAGAGTATCCGCGTCGATCAGATCTCTCTGCCCATTTTCTATCTGGCTGGCTTCGTTGTCGGTTCCGTCGCCCATGACGTTGCTACTGCATGCCGCTACAGCGACAAAAGCGCAAATTACCCATCTACCAGAAACTTTCATTGTAGAAATAATTTGTTATTCTCTATTGAAACGACAATATTATGCTCAGCTAGAGAGATGTCGTAAGAAGTGCCAAAGGTTTAGTCGATTGTAATGTAAATGACGTTGCGACCGCAAAAGAATCTGTTTGCATTCAGCGAATGATAAAATGCGACACTACGTGTATGTGTGTTTCACTAATGGCTCTCCACAAAATGGCAKCGGATTTGAGAATGCTCTTGTAGAGTTCACAGATATGCGAGGTAACCTCAAGGAAAATATGGCACCATACAGTGGAGCGCGTTGTTTCGGATTTAGCGATGCCGTTCACCGTTGAAACTCCAGAGAAAGCAAACCCTAAGTTTCGGCGACAGAAAACGATTGGCGATTTACGGTTGGGCGGGKTATTTTGTGAGTCGTCATAGGCATTCTTCGGCGAAAGAGCTTGCTTGTGAAGAAGATGAGGAAACGGTCGTAACTGCTCATGACCAAAATCGACACGTGATGAAAAATTTCTATGGTACCGTACGTACTTCTATTTTTAGCTCTATTATGAAAAGAAACAGTTACAATAATGTATTATCATATGTATATTACGTATGATAGTAATCTCAAAAGGGCTCCCTCTGCTCTCTGCTTCCACCTACCGTACGGTACCTGGTACCATACCGTCCGCTACAGTATCGTACGGGCCACGACAGTCTCTACATTCCAAGTACTGTACGAAGTATCCACGTACATACGTACTACGTACTCGGAATAAGAAGTTTTTCGTGGCCGCGGTTGTGAATCTTGTGACAACTGTGTGACAACTCACACGTCTGGTTGCAGTTGGCAGCTGTCGTCTCGGAATTGATTGGAACCAGTACGAGTACTCGTACGAGTACCACGCGTTTGTGCATTGCGAGTGAATTGAGTTTGAGCACCAAAGCAGTAAAATTCCTCCAACCCAAGAACGAGAGCTACCGTATTGGAAACCGTAACAGAAACAGAGCCGATTCAAGTACAATACGCATCAAGATGTCCAACAGTAGAATTGCTCTGTTTGGAATTTCCCTGGTGTTGCTGTCCACAGTGTTGGCCACGGGCATCGAGGCGCTGTCTTTTTCCGACCTCCCGGTGCGAGAATCGACGAAGAATCACCTCCACAGCCGACGACACTTTGTGGGAATGGCATCCGCGTTTGTGGCTGCCGCTCCCTTGGTGTCGGTCCCGGCTGTGTCGTACGCAGTTCAAGAGGGAAACGCGAAGGAGCGATTCGTAGCGGCTCGAAAAGAATTGCGCAGCCTGATCGATGATTATGCGGAAATCTCGAAGGGGGGGGGCGATGCCGTCCGAGCTCGCCTCGGAACCCAGGGAATCAGCAGCGATTTGTTTGGTATTCAAAAAGTTCTCAAGACATTGAGCGAGGAAGCCGACGATCTTGTAGAGTACACGGAGATGATGGAGGAGTTCRACGCTTATTACTTCCAAGCAGAAGGTGCCGCGTATCAATCAATGTTCGTCGAGCACTCCTCCGCCAAGGGAACACCCGAATCGTTTTTGAAAACCGCGAAGACGGATATTTTGCAAATGGAGAAATACATGGACCAACTGGCAGTCCAGCTGAAGCTATGAGAAGGCAAGAACAGCCCCATGCTGACGACAGCAGATTCCATTCCAGTTATGATCAACCATGATCCAACGCATTGTTTATCGTTCCATGAATCAAATCGATTTGGTTCAGGCATCGCGATATCTTCTTCCACATTTTTTTCGTCAAGCCTGTTACTCCTTTCAAAGTCGTGGTTATGTGAGGGATGATCCACACCCCTCTTCAGTGACGTGCTGCATCTCTCCCGCAGAATGGTGCCGAGTTTATTGTTTCGTAGAACCAGCGGTGACTATCTTTCCCTTTGGCAGTCATGGCGTTGGAGTCGCAGACTTTCCTTGCAATAGAATATAGTAAAATGCGTCACAGCGTCGTAAAAAATAATGCGTCATTCAAATCCTTAGATATAATACTGTAACCGAACTCCAAAGCGTTGGTGTTCCGTAGCGGCATTTTCAACAACTACAATAACCTAGTCTAGCCAGAGAAAGTCCTACAGAAACTTTTCAGCCGGTGAGACCTTCCAACCTTCCTACARGAATTAGTTGGGAGTCGTCGAACCATGAAACTGACATGCATTCAACTGCTTTCCCGAAGGGGAGATCTAGAAGATGAAGGTAGTTCCTGCTTTCAACCGACCAAGACTAAAAATTGAAGTCCTCAATAAGGTACAGTATGTACGGTAGGTAGGACCGTAAGTACGTAAGTACGTACGTAAGTACGTACATACATACATACATACATACATACATACATACATACATACATACATACATACATACATACATACATACATACATACATACATACATACATACATACTAGAGTACGTACATAGGCACCGTACCTGTACCGTACGTAACAACATTCCGCGCGATGGCTAACTTGGACTGATACTTTAATAAATATTTTAGGGATCGCTCGTCCCCTAAATTTATATGGAGTGAAGAAATTGATACAGGAGGATCTTTGGAATTTTCCTTTTGTGTGTGCACATACGAGGAGACTTCATGGGTCTTACCCCGAATTGTGTGGTCATAGAAAACAGGGAAGCGACATCCGACAGGCTGCAGAAACTGGAACAAGCACGACTCCCACCCCGCAAGGTCCCCGCACTATCAAGAATCAAAGACAGAGCAGCATCCCGGGAACCAAACCCCGAGAAGACCAACACAACCGAGACATCACTAGCTATTCGATTGAACAAACAACAGCCATGGTGTCTATTCGGAAGGCGAAGCAAACCGGTTTCCAGTTGCGGCGAACCAAGGGCCGCCGGGGAGGCCTCTACGACAAAGAAAAGGTGGGACTGGTAGCTGCAGGATTGTGCATAGGCTTCTTTGTGATGTTTCTTTACAGCGCGGCCTTTTCGGACGTGTCCGGTGAGATCGGAGTTATAGCGGAATCCGTGCGAAAAACCAAGAGCCATCCTGTCTTGATGGAAACACCCGAGGACGGAGAAGCAGACACAGACGCCGTGGACCCAAACCATCCTCCCATTCAGCATCCTCCCAAGATTGTCCCGATGGGAGACAGCATGAATGCGATTGCCTTGGAGGTTGTTAGTACTCTCGATTGTCCCAAACTGCTCAAGGAAGCCGAGAAGACCATGAAAGAAGTTGTTCCCTCCGACTTTGGAATGGACGATAACCTCGACCGAGAACGTCGTCGACTGCAACAACACGGAGACGATGGAGGTTTTGCAGATTTTGGTGGCGGCGCGGAAGAGAAGAAGGGAGAGGACGATTCTCTTCCAGAAGAGAAGTGGGGAGAACAAGCCGTTGAAGGCGGTGACGCCGAGGAGGAATTTGAAAATTACATAAATTTGTCGGCCAAGCATCTCTTTTGTTTAGCTGCCACTGAAAGTCCTCCTGACGTCATCACGAACGAAATCAACTGCGATGCAAAAAAGAAACGCAGAACTTTGCTGGATCTGTGGTCTGCAGCCCGGTCTCAAATGCCAGAAGACCTCCTGCTCAAGGTCCTAGATCTGGCTCACGAAGGGAGAGAAGAAATACTCGGAAACTCCTACCATATATGGGCTCCGAGCGGCGACGATGGATTATACTTCATGGTGAACGCTTTGAATTCGGACCAGGATGTAGACAACGGCGGGATCAATGGGCTGGAGGAAGCCTTAGGTCCCGGGAAACTCTTCGTCGATGTGGGAAGCTGTCTAGGATTGACATGTCTAGCCATCAACAAAAAATACCCCGGAACCAAGATTGTTTCCCTCGAGCCAGCCTCGCCAAGCTGGCTACTCCAAGAACTCAACCTCAGATGCAATCTTTCCAAAAAGGAGTTCAAGAACATCAAGGTCATATTGGCGGGCGTTGGAGCCAACACGGACGAAGAAGACGACCTGATGGCAAAGCTCATGTGGAGACCAACTTCAACAACCTCGACTCGGTCTTGGACGCCCGCGGAGGAGTCTAAAACGAGCGATTTGGAACTGATTGTGCGACTTCGAAAGCTGAGATCTCTTTTGGCCGAAGCCGACGTTCTGCTACCAAACCACATCGATGTCTTAAATCTGGATTGTCAGGGCTGCGAATACAACCTGATCCCTGCTCTCTCGAAAGAAGAATTCGAAAACATCCCAACCGTTATGGGCAACGTTCATTGGGGCTACATAAATCCGAACAAACTGCCATCTAGTGATCGGGGAAGGATCACCCATCAGAGACTTTGTGGCCACGAAAACATCGCTCGGGACACAAAAGAGTGCTGCGCGTTTCCCGATCTTCCGGTGAAGAGCGGCATTCCGGGTGAAGTGTTACAAGTTGGCGATTCCAATAATTTCCCTCCAAAAGAGAGCACCGTGTCAGATGTTATAATGGAAAGTATGTGCGACGACTTTTCAAGTTGGAGCAAGGAGCGCTACCTTAACGATATACCGGATGACTTCAATTGGTTTGAACTGTCGAGTCAGGCATAGAAAATGAGTTCACGATTCTATTAACCAAGTGTAATATTCTTGGACTGTGTCTTCTATAGAAATTCGCTTCCAGCTCCAAAGATACCACTAGCAACATCTAAGGTTGAACGTAATACTACGTGTTGCGGATCAAATGAAATTACGTTTCACAGGGCGTTCCCAATCTTAAATTAACATTCGGAATGTTAGAAATAATGTTCCAAATGTTTATTTCACACACAGAATGTTAAATTTATCGCATAGGCCTACGTAGATCCTAGTATTATCCACAATCTTCATTGAGTTTTGCACGTGCCTGAAAAAGGAAGAGGGATCTAAAAAAGAGGAAGAAGAGGACGCCTCCCCTGCTAACTGTCAGACTGTTAAGCAGAGCATTCAGGATTTTAAATTTAAGCAAAATCGACAGTACTCATTTCTACATAGCCTACGCTGCTAATATTCAGAATGTTAAATTAACATTGGGAACGCCCTGTGAAACGTAGTTTCAATTCATCTGCAAGGCGTAGTAATAAATTAATTTGATACAGGAGCTTTGTTTTGCTTGCACTGTCTTTGGGCCAGAGTTCTTCAAAACATGGGCAGAATCTCATTGGTGCTGTAGTGTTACCATATTGTTGTGCTAAGGAACAACATCCTACTGACTTTACCTATTTTTTTCTTGAAATGCAAGGCAAGGGACTCTTGAGGAAATTCAAGAGGCTTTGACTTCTGCAATTGTTGTAATGAAATTTGTGGCAATTAAACCTGTTTGCCAAAACTTAGGTGGACAATTGACACTTCAATTACCCAAGGACCTTGTGTMCTGATGTCTGCTGAGTGAATGTCGTTAAACACACCATTTGCTTTTGTTTAAGTAGAAGATTAAATAGAGGTAAATGCCAAGCAGATAGGTGACAAGAGCAAAGCAACGAGCAAAAAGAAGCCAAATCCAATGAACCCTCCATTGGTGGCAGTATAATCCAGAATAAAATCAGCAGCAGGAATGAAAAGCTATTACCAGTCTTAATTTTGGCGGGGCTTTCTGTTGAGTCTTTCRACAGACTCAAAATTTTGAATCGTGAGTTCCACCATAAAATTTACAGCCTTCCTCTCAGTCTATCCATTTAAATTTTTATTCTAATTATTCTAAATACCCYAGATCCCTACATTTAACGCTTTAGAGTATTTAGAATAATGGGAATCACACCCAATAAATGGGAAGTAGAAGTACTGAAGTAATACAGCTGCATACTTAGTCTTGATGGATATCTGGCTTCTAAAGAAGGGCGACAACTTTGCATGTTCATTCATAATGGAATCCCAGTCATCCTGACTAATGGGAACATTATGACAAAATGAAGTACTACTCCTGGTACTACTACTCCTACTCCTACTACTACTACTCCTGGTACTACTACTACTACTACTACTACTACTACTACTACTACTACTATCATGTACAACTAATAAATCACAAAAAATGATGGCAAACACCCACATGATAGGAACCCGTTTTTGTAGAATTCACACACACCCCAATATTTTTGTGTACCTGTCAMATTGTGTTTGCATCCTGCTGGTCTTGTTTCCACCAACAGCTATCACAATAGGTTCTTGCAAATGAGCACAAGAAGAAGAAGAAGGTAGATAGTTGGCTGTGAATGGTTGTGATTAGGAGGTCATACTACCGTTTTCAGTCACAAATATGTTGGAAGGAAATCATGTTTCAAAAATCTTAAAATATATTTCACTTGTGAACTAGAAGAGACAGTATGATGATGGCCAGCAGGGCCATTATTTCTCCTGATTAGTAGGGAGAAGAATGCTCCTCCTATTAGTAGTACTAGTTGCTGCTGTGAGCGGTGGTACCTCCCTCTGAGGAGGTATTGTGGAGGGATGACTGGATCTATGTAYACTGACAAGCCAATCAATGAATGGGGCTGAACTCAGGGAAYWTAGTACTAGAAGGTGTTGGTCCACAGTACTTTTGATGAATGAGAGCCATGCTGTGATCATTGGCAAAGCCTATATTGGTCTCTTACTAGCAAAGGGCACCAGCAATAGTTTCAGTTTGCTGAACAATGAGAGTAATGTTTGCCTGGTGACAGAACAGCATGTTGTCTCCATAGGAGCACTGGTGATACTACTATTACAACTTACTGCACCACGTATTATTGCTTTTGTTGGTTTTTTCATACACCATGTTAACTTGGATGAATTCTTTGGAATCAGTGGTCTTGGTCCATTCCTTGGTCTGACCATTGTTTGCTTGAATCCATTGGGAGTCCTGGTGACATTTGGAGGATTTAAGTCTTCCACTCACCACACACTCTTGAACTGATCCCTGTGTCAAAGTATTCAACAAATCTACATTAGCATATTTGATTAAAAGAAGTTGAAGAAGTATGTTCTGTACAACTGAGTTGGAGGTAGGAATGGGATATT